TCAGTTTATCACATGTGTTCATCGCCATTTCCAGTCTTCTATTCAAATTTTCAGACAATTTCTCTTTCTGGATATCAGCTGTTTCAGACGGATACAGGGTTGCAGTGCAACTGCTTGGTGTCACGTATTTATTGGCCATGAGTTTAATCATCCTCAGATTCACTTGAAAGTCTACTTTCATGCCAGCAGTTAATTGGATAAATTTTAGCAATTGCCCATGCTACCTTCTAATCATCCGTCGAAATGAGATAGAAGAATCCTCACAATGTATTCTGTTTTTGACAAACTTCTACGAAAAATCTGATACATATGGATACAGTAGACATGTCGAATATAGGCATTAAAGCATCATGTGAAAGCTACCTAGCGTTTAATTACAGGATTAACTACTGAGGTTCCAAGGGTCCCGCAACTAAGCGCCCGCTTTGCATATTCCAAAGCGCAGAAGAGATTCACAGCCCTAAACGTTTCTATTAAATTCAAAATGATACCACAAAGTTGCTGTTCGACAAGTTTGCCTAAAGTTTTAGACTATCAGCTTCTACCGGGTTTCCAGAAATAATTAGCGTAATTTCATTGCGTTGAAAAATTGCACCATTGCTGATTATTAATTGAACAATCATGACACTCTGGCCAATTCTTTGTAGATTAGATACGGCTACCTTTTAATGAAGCACAATGCCTTGAACTAGTGTTAAAGAGCACTTTCGCAAGAGTAATCAATTTAGCTTAATTAAAAGGTGGCATTTTTGAAATCGTAACTGGTTTCAAGGATACCGTAGTAGCCGAAAAGAAATGCAGTGCGATATTTCCACCAGCCATGCGCTTCAGTAGTTATTCTCTATCCATAATGCAAAAGATAGGTGGGAATAGCAGTAGTGATCAATAACCATATTTGTGATGTTCAATCTGCAAGTTTCAGAAAATATGGTTATTAATTTTATTAATTTTAACCGTACGAAACTTATGGCTGTTCGAAAATGAATTAATGCCAAACTGCTGAAAACTTAGACTAATTAACACTTGCTCTCTAAATTTAATATGCACGGCTGTAACAAGAATGTCGTGGTCTTCCGTCATTCAAAGTACATTAAATATATCAGTACAAAGCGCAAGTTCCCCAAAACAGCTCCCCTTATCCTGGGTAAAACAAAAAGGTGAGTCGCCCAGTAAAAGTGATGTAATATGTATCACAGTCAGACCATTACTCTAGATTCCGCTTTATTCAAAAACACTTTCAGCTTCGCCTGCAGAGTACGCAAAAATATGATATATAAATGAATTGAAATACCTGTTACACTACGCACATCAAGAAGACATTCATGGCCCTTAGGGTCAACAGAATCATCAGAGCATTCGTGAGCACCCATGCTTTGCCTTAGCCATTTATAGCCATGGAACGATATTATCATGAATTTAATAGGTCACTGTCTCCATCATCGACAGAAATAAAAACAGAATTAAATAGCCGAAAAATGAATCTTACGATGTTTCTGCTGAACAAAAAAAATTACCTCTTATGTTAAGTGTGAGGCGTGGAGCTTCATACCTTGTTTGTTTTAACCTATTCTATTTTGTTCGATTAGATTTTATGTATGACTCGCCGTTGCAGGTCCCAAGCTCGGATGAAGAAAGATGATGCTTGGTGACTGTGGGGAGGTCTCCGGTAAACCTTAACCGCCTGCCCCTGATGTCACTACCTCTATCGAACGTCATACCGGATGGGCAGTCGCTTCAGCTACAGAGCGCCGCGGATGCCATTGGACAACTGATGCAGAATGCAAACAATCGGTGATCAGCAACTCTTTTTCACCTTATGGTAACTGGAGCCGAAGCAATACGGCGACGGCTGCAGAAGATTGACAACAATACGACAAAAATACTTGTCAACAACGGAGCCACTAGCCGTACTGAACAGAGAAGGCAGACAGCGTGATGGCATTGCAGCACACCAGGTACGATTCCGCAGACACCGTACCGACAGCAGGATCTCGCAATCGGAAACTGGAACATCTCTTTGTTGAGATTGGAAGAGCAAGAGTCAGTTGTTGAGGCCGCAGGATACCT